CCTGTGAGGACTTTTATTATTTTATTCTAGACCCTGGGAGGGTGCTATTATTTTCTCCATTTTACAGTTGAGGAAACTGAGGCAAGCAGAGATTAAGTGACTTGCCCAGGGTGTCACAGCTGGTAAGTGCCTGAGGCAGGATCTGAACTCATTACCTGCTGACTCCAGCTCAGCACTCTCTCCACTGCCCCAATAAGGAATTCTGAGAAGCTTGGGAATACTGGAAGGAACTGACATAAAGCTAAATCAACAGAACCAAAAGAACAAGAACCAGTCTGGGTACAATAATGTCACTAAAAGGAAACCAAACCCCACGTCCCTGAAAACCAATTGGAGATCCAGAGATCTGACAAGATCAAGAGACCAGACAAGGACACGCGGCCCCTTAGGAGGACCAGAAGAACATTACACACAATAATGAGAGTATAAAGTCAACACTGAGAGGCCCCAAAATTCTGGTCCAATACAGATTGATGGTTTAAAAAACCTTTCAAGATCAAAACAAAAAAGACACCCAAGGTCTCCAACACCTGTGATTGGTGGTGTGTCCTTAGATGACGAGATAAGTTCAGTTTCAGGAATAGGTCATGGTGGAGATGTCCCCAGGGCAACTAAAGATGACAGGCTGGGACTCAGGTGATGGGGCAGACACTGACCTGGGATTCATCTGCATCAGGGCAAGAGCTGTAGTCACCAGAGGAAAGGAGACTGCCAAGGAATAGCATTTAGACAAAGGAGAAGGCCGAGGACAGCGGAGAGAGAAGGAACAGCTGTCAGGAGAACCCGGGTGCCCAGAATCTCTGAAGCCAAAAGGCAAAGAGCATCCAGAAGAAGAGTATGGACAAGAGAACCAACAGGAACCAATGTTTCAGGAAGGTTAAAAAAAAAAAAAAAAGACAAGAAGGTCAACTGAGTAAGTGGGACCTGAGGGAAGACATGGGCAGGTGAGGTCGGAGGGAGCGGTCGGAAATGAAAGGACAAATGCAGACAGTTTTTTCAAGAAGAGATTATTCATAGCACGACTAGATGGTATAGGGAGGTTTCCTTAAGATTGGGAAGACCTGATTATATCGAGTTCTACTCTAAAAATTTTTTAATCTAAAATTTTCAAATAAATATTTGCTGACCATCGCACTATTCTTCTGTTACTTATCTCTTAAATTTCAGCATCTATGTAGATACATAGATATGTAAACAAAATATAATATACTGTATAATTTGTTATTTATATGTATTATATATGATATTCTGTGTCTGTTTAATATTATATATGGTATGTATATACATTCATAAACACACACACACACACACACACACACACACACACACACACACACACACACACATATATATCTCTCTGCACACACATACATACACACATGTATAAAATCTCCTCATCTAAATAAGTTTTGAGTCCAGGGGCCCTATCTTGATGCTTCTTTGAATCCCCTCCTGGGCAGCCCAACCATGAATATTCAAAGTGGTCACTTAGGAAATATCAGTTGAATGACAAAAAATGCAGACTTTTAGGTACAGAATTCTACAGAAACTTAACCAAGACATAACAATGTCTAGGATAACCAAGCCCTGCTTATGATGCAGTTTGGCCTGTATTAAGGTCTTGAGAAATCAAGGATTTCCTGAGCATTTATTCCTTGCTGATGAGAGGCAGCCTGGAACCCTAGGTAGAGGGTGAGAGCTGGCCCCCTAGCCAGCCTGAATTGAAGGCTCACCTCCAACCCATCCTGGCTGGGGGACCCTAAGCAAGTCGCTTCACCTCTGGACAACTCGACCACACTAGATGTTGCAGAGAAGGTTCAACCTATGTAAGTAGAGGGAATTTCCTCACCAGCGAGTTCCCTCCATCAGCGTTCAGTCCCTCTTGCTAGTGTGGACACACTGCTAAGTACATGAGCTACAACAAGAAAAACCTTGCACGGTAGAAAAGAGTTCCTCACTTTGTGTGTGTCACAGACCCCATGGACTTCTCAGAACGTTTTCAAACACCTAAAACAAAACACACAGGCCTAAAAGGAAACCAGTTACATTGAAATAAAGATGTCATTTTTTTTTTCTGTCCAAGTTCTCTGACTCTTTCAGACCTGAAATCTAGCAAGAGATCCCCTTGAAAATCCCAGGTTAAAAACCCCTGCTCTAAGAGTTCATGACCCAGTTAGCCATGATTAAAAAAACAAACAAAACAATCTAAGAAGGGGTAAGTGAAGTGATAATTATGAGCTCCTGAACGCTGGAAGACCTGGACCTTAAAGGATGAGTGAAATGTGGCTAAGAAGAGAGTAGGGGTCCCACTTGGTCAGCGTACAGGGTAGTAAGGGGGGGCAGGTGAGGCCAGCCACAGCAGCACCCCAGGTGCCAATCTACCTGCCCCCAGGGTGCCCACCCCCAATGCTCCCTCAAGTGTCCCAGCAGACAAAAAGTCCATACAGACCTTACCTTCCAGGGGCTGAGTCTTTCCCAAGACATAAATATTTAGAGTAAATACAAGAGCCCTTCCCCCCTCCCACTCTGGGGAATTGGGAAGACCTCGGGACTAGGGATCATGTGCTCAGAGGGACCCCATCTAGGCCAGTTCCCCTCATTTTACGATTGAGGAAACTGAGGCCCAGGGCAGATTTGCCTGGGACTCACAGCTAATGGGTGTGGTGGGATTCGAATTCAGACTTCCCTGGGTTCAAATACAGCGCTCCATGCGTGCTGCCTCACCTCCTCCACTGTAAAAAGAGGGGGTTGATCCAGATGGCCTCAACTCCCTTCCAGCTCTAATAACAAAATCAATAATAAGAATAAAAAATAATCATGATAGCTGCCATTGACATAGCTCTTAAAGGGCAGCTAAGGGCTTTACAAATACAATCTCATGGACTCTCACAACCACCCTGGGAAGTACCAAAGAGGAAACTGAGGCAGGCAGTTTCAGTGACATCTGCTCAAGGTCACAAGACTAGTAAATGCCCGAGTCGAATTTGAATTTAAGTCTTCCTGATAAAGTGTGAACACACCAACAGGAGCACCCCCATGCGAGCAGTCTTTTGCCCTTTGACCTCCCCCAGACCTAGCCCCCTCCCTGGGCCTCAGTTTCCCCATCAGTAAAAGGAGAAGGTGGAACTCGATGGGATCCCTACAGGCTCGGGCTAGAGACAAAGACAAGAACGCCTGCCCTCGGGGAGCTTACCTTCTATGGGGCAGGGGGAGGGGTCACAGGACCAAGCGCACGCACGTTCCCTAAGACACACAAATACCGGGATCTCCCGCCCCCAGCCCCGCCTCCCGAGGAGGGGGAGGGGCGCCCGCCACGCACGCGCACACGCCTGCCCTCCTCCTCCGCCCGGACAATGGCTCCCGCGGGAGGGCGCGCGCGCGCACATGAGCTGGAGCAAGCGCCGCCGCCCCCCGCGCACGCGCAGAAGCCAAAGCAAGAGCACGCGTCACTTTGCCCCCCCTCCTGCCCCCCGCGCACGCACCCCCTCGCCCCCTCCCTATCCCGTCCTCACGACCCCCGGGCCTGGGCCCCGGGCTCCCGCGCGCTCTCCCCACACGGGACACTTACGCTCCGACGAGTCTGGGGCCAGAAGCCTGCAGCCGGAGCCGGTAGACGCAGGGCGGGGAGCCTGCCTAGACCACGCCCCGCCACGAGGCCCCCCGCTCGGCGCGGCGCCCGACGGGAAACGGACTGCGCCGCTTGGCCCGGCCGGCCCGGCCCAGCCCGCTTCGGACGTCACGCACGCGGAGGGGCGCGCGCTCGGCGGCGGCGTCGGAGGCGCTCGCGCCCCCCAGGGGGCGGGGCCGGACCGGGAGGAGGTGCGAGGAGCGGGGGGGGGGATGGGCAGAGCTGGGAGAGTGTGAGCGAGAGCTGCGCCTGTCAGGGCCCGGTAGGGGGCACTGCAGCGCGAGTCCGGGACCCCTTTGGGGCCTAGGGACAATAGGCCCTCGTTTTGCATTGGAGGAAACTGAGGCCCAAAGTCCACACCAGCGTGCATCTTTTAAGCGCCTGCTGCATGCGGGGCGCGGCGCTCAGCCCCGTCCTCTAGGAGCTCACAGTACAATGCATGAAGCCTTTATTAAGCACCTACTGTGTGCCAGGCACCGTGCTTTGCTTTGCGCGAAGGATGCAAAGGAATCCTTCCCTCAAGGAGCCTGCAGTCCAGTAGCTGACAATAGCCCAGCAACTGCGCACAAACCAGATGCAGTCAGTGCAAAAGGGGGAGGGGGCATCAGCAAATGCAAGGTGGTGACCCCGGCGGATGGGAAAGGCCTCGAGCAGAAGGCGGGGCTTGCAGCGGGACCCTCTACTGCAACCCCTCTGCAGCATCCCTTCTGCCCCCTGGACCGTGTCCCCAAAGAGAGGGGCGCCAGGCCACCCAAAGGGACCCGAGTCTAGCCTCTGTTTCCTCCCAAGGGATTGGCCTCCGAAGCCTTTTCCCATTCTCCACGTCTAGTCTAAGCCCCCTCTTGTCTTTCATCTGCCTGTTAGAATGGAAGCTCCTTGAAGGCAAGGGCTGTTTCAGCTAAGTCTGGGGCTTAGCACGTCCCTGGCTCCTAGTACAAGCCTTAATAGATGCTTATTAACAGGCTGACTTCCTCCAAAGCTCCACCTGAAGCCTCTCCTGATGCCCTAGCTATCACATACATTGTATGTGATATAATTGTGTACAATGATACAATATATCACATTGGTCTTTGAATCCATAGTGCCTGGCACTGGGTGCCTGGAACACAGGAGGTGCATAATAAATGCTGGTTGATTGACTTTGCAAGGTCACAGAGTATCACAGCTTGAGGTCGGGGATTCCAAGGTTCAGTACAAGGAAGGCCTGGGCACCGTAAGACAGGACACACAGCCTAAGACAAGGTCAGCAGGGAAAAAGTAAAGCCGGCCAGTAAGGGTGGTCAGGGAGAACAGAAACAGGGCTGCAGGGGTTTCCTATAGAAGGAGGCAGCAAACCCCGGTAAAGACTGATGGATTTTTTGAGGGTTCTTACCTGGACCAAGGGTTGGGAGGAGGATTGAGGAGCCTCGCCCAGAGGCCTGGAGAATATCGAAGTCCTTACACATCAGAAGTGTCAGGGTCAGGATTCAAACCCAGCGGTAGATTTAGAGCTGGAAAGGATCTTAGAGACCGCCTAGTCCAAACCTCTCATTTTACATTTGTGGAAATGGGCTCCGAGAGGGCGCAAGGTCTTCCCCAGCAGGCACATGCAGTCAATAGCACAGATGGGGTTTGAATCCAGGTTCTGTGGTTCCAGGATCTGTCCACTGCCCTACTAGGGCTCACTCGGTGAATTACCCAATGCCCCAGTTGACAGATGTCCAGTTAGACCTCAGTTACTGGCACGCAGTCCAGAACCGTGGACCTGGACTCAGAACCAGCTTAACTGTGTGTTTAGCGATGGGCAAATCCAGTTCTTCATCCAGCTTAGTATCAGGGGCTTCCCTGGGCCTGTTGCTATCCCAGAACCCAGCCAGGAGGGCCAGAAGGCAGAAAGACCCACCATCACCATGGACTCTCCCTTGTTCCTTTCCCCCTTTGCCCACTATCAAGAACCCATCCTGTCTGCCTGCTTCAGTGGTTCACCTGGGAGCTGGGAGCCAACAGCTGTATCCCTTTGAGGGAGATGGAGACTTACCCTCTGCCTCTAGCCTGGTCCTCGAGGCCTTACTTTCTGCCCCACAGACTCCCAGCACTCACTTCCCTGCTTGCTGCTCTATGGCTGAACTTTGCTTTATGTCCTGGCTCTCCCCTCCCCACCCCCCACCCCCATCGGTATGTGAGCCACCCAATAGACAATGGAATTTTACTCTTGGGGCTGGGCCAAATGCATCAGAGTTGAGATCCAATAACTCTCCCTCTCCTCCTACTTCCTAAAATGTCAAACCTGCCAACCTCCAGATCCATTTAGCTTTTTCTATGCTCAGACTCCCAGAGCCCTCAGGCTTCCCAAAGCTACTCAGGTAAACACTAGCCTCCCCTCAAATTCCAAAAATACCTCTTCATTCTCTCCCCCTCTTCTCCTATCAAGACTTTCATTCCTTCAGTGCTGAAGCTGATAGGAAAGAAATCTGTGTAATAATTCATCCAGAAGTGTGAACAAACCAATAGGAGCATCCCTTTCCAAGTAGTGTTTTGTCCTTTGACCCAAATAAAAAGATAGTTTGTAAGATAGATAAAACATGTTTTTGCACAGGAAAACTTCTGAAAACCACTTGGCTAGTCTGGACTGGCCCATCCATATTCTAATGTGAGAACCTGGAAGGCCTCTGGTTAGAGAGGTGGGGGGACTGATCTGGGGGTGCTAAGCCTTGCAGGTTACCAGCTGCCTAGACATAAAGCCTCACTTAGCATCTCCATCCTGCTGAACTGTGTCTGATAACCAGCTGCCACCCAAGAGTCATAGAATAACATGCCTACAAAACACCCAGTTCTCCTACAGGGTAGCTTGGCTATGCAGCAGATGGAACCCAGCCATCTCAATACTCAAGAATAGTTCGGATGTGCCGTGGGGTCACTGCCCCATTTCCTCCTCCTCCTGTTATGGCCTGAAGATCACACCACTGTAGATCTCGCCTTCTCTCTCCAGTCCCTAAGAGCTAGCTGCACCTTTCACTCTAGACCACTCTTCCTTCGCCCATCCCACAGGCACCTTCTTAGCTTCTCCATGCGAGTCGAAATTCATCACTAAGAAAGTCCTGTTGCTTTTAATGTCAGTGGCTGGTCTGCCTCTTCTGTGAAAACCACCTAAGCCTCCAAAGCAGCCGCAACAGACTAGGACCCCTACAAACCACATCTTCCTCCCCAAGGTCGGGGAGCAAGGGGTCAGATGTGGCTTCTTAGGAAAACAGGTTCAGAGACAGTGCTGGAACGAACCTCCAACTCCCGCAAGGCCACAGCCTAGTACCTCTCAGGGGCTCTTAAGTGGCAGATGTGGGATTTGAAGTGAGATCCTCAGAATCCTGAGTCTTTCCACTGCACCATGTTGCCCCCCCTTATACGAGTCTGCTAACCTTAAGTGTCATGAGAATGCTGTCAACCTCAAATGCAATGAAATTGAAATTCTGTATATTTCAGTCTTGGAATGTCTGTTGAGATAGAAAGAAAAAAAAAGGTGACTGTCATAAAGACAGATGTAAATGGAAAGGTGTTGGTCGCCATGGAGTTGGAAAAAAAGAAATGGAAAAGTCAGATTTTTGACCCTGAACCTCAAGCAAAAGGGGAGGAAACTTACAGCCTCGAGGCCACGCATATACAGTCTTCTAGGTCCTTGGTTGCGGCCTTTTGGCCAAGTCCAAGTTTCACAGAACAAATCATTTTATTAAGGAGATTTGTTCTGTGAAGTTTGGATACAGCTAAAGGGCCAAACTTGAGAACCTAGAGGGTCCCTTGTGGCCTGGAGCCCACAGGGTGGGTTCCCCAGACCTGCTCTAGCATCCGCAGGGGCTCTGGGTGGCTGATACAAAGATCCAGGCCACCTGACACTTCAGTTCTCTCAGTGGAAAAAGGTGACTCACCGTCAACTTGGTGAATTCAGCTAGCCCGAATTCCAACCAACCCTCCTCTTCCTTTTCTGTGTTTGCCAAGGAGCCCTTTGGTCTTAATTTGGTTAAATAGGCTTCCTCCCCACTCCCCCAGGAAGAAAATGAGCCATGGAGTGACTCAGCAAGAACAGTTGGTCTACTTAGAAACGTTTTGGAGGATTTTGAGCTAGGGGTGACCCCACGTATCACAAAGGAGCAAACGGAGGCCCAGAGTAGAAATGGTCACAAATTAAGTACCAGCTGGGATTCAAACCAGGTCTCTTGACTCCAAATCCATTGCTCTTTTATTATACTATAGCTGAATAAATGAAAAAACATTTGTTATACAACACATCTTGGATAGCTAGGGAAGAAAGAGAGAAAGAGAAAGGAGAGAAGGAAGAAAGGGGAAAGAAAAAAGAAAAGACAAGGAAGGAAAGGAGGAAGGGAGGGAGGGAGGGAAGAGAGGAAGGAAGGGAAGGAAAGGAAGGAAAGAAAGAAGGAGAAGACAAACCCTGCTCTCAATTAGGGGAGACACAAAAAATGAATGGATGGCCAGGCCCCACAGTCCCTGCACTAGGTCAGATGACAGCCCTGGGTCTGGAGGATGTAGGCACAGGCTGGATGGTGAGGTCTGGTAGACCACCGAGGCAGTGGCAAGCCTGATCCACCATCTTCCTATAGGGAACAGAACTGGGGATTCAACGTCTCCTTGTAGTTTGGTTCTGAGCTGCTGGGAGCTGGGGAAGAAGAAAGGGCACAGAGAAAGCCCGGACAAGCAATTCCATCATTTATCCCTATTTGCTCAGTAATAATGTCTGTGCTTTGCACACATTGGGATCTTCAATTTTTGCTGAATTTGAATTTGCCTGTACTCAAATCATCCCTTTTATGTCCACAAATAACAGCTGGGCTCCCACACAGGCAACATTCTTTAAATTGGGGGGCTGCTTCTGCCTTGGGTTAACTGACCCTTGGCTGACCCTTTGACCAAGTCCCTTCAGCCCCAAATTCAACATGATTTGGCGTTGTTGACTCTTACTGGCAAAGGGGCCATCGTCTCTTTCGGATTTGCTTTTATTTTGCAGAATATCAAGCACAAACGTATCTGTTTTAGCAATATACATATTAATTGATTCTTCTGAGTCAGGAAGAGGGGTGGAGAGCGCAGAAATTACCCCCAAAATCAATCACTGCTTGACAAATTGCTTCCCAAAATACTTGACGTTTGAGGGAGACATCTCAAGAATGGGGTCAATGAAGCCAGAGCCTTTACTTACTTCACAAGGTTTGGACGCTTTCTCTGCAGAGCAGGGCACAGCCCACTACAACTTGTTATTTTTTTAATATCTTCTGATTTCAGTGTGATTTCATCCTGCTCATTTGATACTTTATTGATTTGATTGTTTTTGTTTTATTTTTCGGGTTAGGCAACTGGGACTGAGTGACTTGCCAACAGCTAGGAAACGTGTCCGAGAGTCCGAATTTGAACTCAGGTCCTGCTGACTCCAGGGCCAATGCTCTATCCACTGCGCCACCTAGCTGCCCCAGCCCATTACATCTTAGTCAGCTGACTGAGCACAGTCCCTAGTGATTCGTAAGCCTGTAATAAAAGGCCTGTTTCCTGCTTCTCTTAATAGATGGGAACAGATAGGTGGCATGGAGAGATTAGATTTGGAGCCAGAATGACTGGTTTCAAATCCAGACATAGTAAATGCCTGTGTGACCCTCGGCAAGTCCCTCAATTTTTTTCAACCTCCATTTCCTCATCAGTAAAATGGGAATAGAATTTTGCATCTACCTCACAGGGATGTTGGGGCTGGTCCGAAATGGTTCCTCAGGAGCCAATGCTCCAAACTTTTCCAGCTTAGCCAACCGTTTCAGCATTCAGGCTCAGCTAATACAGCAGGGTCACCTCTATAAACCTAGGGGAAGTTCCCTCCTGTTTCCCATTACACACATCAGGGGCATTTAGGTATCAGAAAAAAGGGATTGGAAAGGCATGATACACACAACCCATAATTTAACCCAGAACATTTAAATGATTGTAAGCTCCCAAGTTTAAAATACCAATTTTTCTTCCAGAATATTTTCTAAGAGTAAGCAAATTATGTAATTTCCCCAAACCATTCTCCTGTGCTTTCATATCTCATGTCTGCTCTGAATAGTTGTTTGTTCTAAATGTATGCTAAAGATGCAGTTAAATATTAAATTTAAACATGTAGGTTAGAGAAAGGACAAAGGATTACTTCACAAATAACCCATCACTCACAATGCATTTGGACACCACACCTGGTTTCAATGATCCAGTTTGTGAACCCTCCTCCCTCGACCCCAAAGGATCTGGTGTTAGAGGCTTTCCTGCAAGACAGTATAGTGTGGGCTATTCTAATCTTCCCTTTTCTAGACTTATCACAGAATCCATATTGTAAAGAACCTCAGAGGCCAGAGACCTTGGCCATCCGTTTATTCGATAGTTATTTCTAGTGAAGAAAAACTTACGGCAAACACAAGTTAAAAGATAAAATTTATTAGGTACATTACATTTTTTTGAATTTGAAGAAAACTTTGCAAGTACATTTAAATAGAACACAAGTACTGATGGGCTACAACAGAACCTTAAAGACACTGAAATACAAGGTCATCTTTGTCAACGTGGAGTCAACCTGGAGCTCTGAACTGACAACAGAAAAGGCCGTCACTGCTCCAGATGCCCGGCAAGGCTGCACTTGTGTCTAATTGGATAACTTGTTTTTTACCAGTTAACCCCTAAAAAAGGATTAGCTCAACTGTTTTTAATTTTCTGTAAATAAATTGAGAAAAATCAACAGTTTTTAAGAAAGAAGAAAAGAAAAACTCTGGTGAAAGGCGGTGCTAACGTACAGCGGGATGGCAAAAAGAAAATTAGTGGATGTAATTTCTTGATATGCAAGGATAACCTCTACGTATTTCAAATGAAGTTTATCAGGTCAGGAGGCTATCTGAGTGTCGTAATAAGCACCTTGGTCTGAAGATAGAAGAGAAATAACCACCCATGACATTCTGCCAAGTAATTGTTACAGCACTACTTCATACACAATTGAAGGAA